TGCCAACCTAGCAGTTCGAAAGCAAGAAATTGCAAGTAGATAAATAGGGACCACTTTGGTGGGAAGGTAACAGCGTTCTGTGCGCCTTGGTGTTTAGTCATGCCAGCCACATGACCACGGAAATGTCTTTGGACAGTGCTGGCTCTTCAGCTTTGAAACGGAGATGAGCACCGCAACCCTAGAGTCGGACTCGACTGGCTTTCGAGCAAGGGAACCTTTACCTTTACCTTTTTACTGGCTCTGTGTAACTTTGTAAGTCTGCTAGCACAATCAGTACCTAAGCTCTGCTGTGTGGAAATGCCTAATGCGCTCTGAAACATTAATAGTGAGTCCTGGCTCTACTAAAACCAGAGAATCCATCAGAAAGTACTGTAAAGTCATAGCTGACTTATGGCAACCAGGTAGAGTTTTCGAGGCAAGAGACGAGCATCGGTGTTTTGCCATTGCCTGCCTCTGCTTAGCAAGCCTGGATTTCCTTGGTAGTCTCCCATCTAAGTACTGAACAGGGCTGATCCTGCTTAGCCTACAATATGTGATGTGATGAAGCTAACCTGGGCCATCCAGCTGTGTATTACATAACAGAAAATGAATCTTCTGCTTTGGGGAAGGCAATGGTTAGCTTTGAGCTTACATATGAAATCAGTTCTGCTTCTTCCTTTTGTGACCTTCACACTTCCGTTATTCTCGTGTCCTGTTTAATCTGTTTTCTGTGTTCTTCAAATCGCGTCTCCTATAGAGGACATGTTTATTTTATCCAGGCTTTTAACAGAGGGGATCCATCTTTTAAATGGTCCATTTTTATGGGCCACTTCTAGCCTGGGGCTCTTTTATAAGGCTTCTGCCTGTTGTTTAATATGTTGTTTTATATCTGTTTACACACTGTGGGCGTGTTTTATGGCTGTTTGTTATTACTTTTACATTGTTTTTATGATTTTATTGCAGTATTTTACTTTATGAGCCACTTTGAGCAGCTCTCTGGAGAAGCAATATATAAATAAATAATTGGGGTCCGGGGCTGGCGTCAGCATACCCTGAGGTGAGGCAGCTGCCGGAGCCCAGGGCTTAAGGCAAGGCCCACTGCTGCTGACCCCCTATCCATGCACCTCCTCTGCCACTGGTCTGTGTGCCTTTCTCTGCCTATTTGTTTGCAAATGCCCTGCCAGCCATGCTCCCACTTCCCAGTGTTGATAGGGAAGTACATATGGGTCTTGCACAGCAGTAGCATTCTTGGCAGTTACAGTTGCAGGAACCAGACAGTGCTGTTGGGGAGAGAGCATAAAGGTGGCTGTGAGTGCAGGCTGTGAAAGTGATTGTGAGTGAGGGGAGGGTGCACAGTTGGGGGGGGGGACATGCAGATGGGTGAGTGGAAAAGTGGACATATGAGGGGGCCTGGTGGTGGGCAGAAGGAGGCCCCAGGCAGTGTCTGCCCAGGACCCCCATAAATGTAGGACCTGTGCTGATTGGGATGAAACGGGATCTCTCTTCCTATCCCTACAGGCCTGGTGATCTCCCCCCACCCCAACCTCACCATACTTTCTTCTACTTACACCATCCTTAGCTGGCTATTTTCTTATCTGAGCCCATTTGTGGGGAGGGCGGGGTATAAATGCAATAAAATAAATAAATACATTATCTGAACCCTATGTGTTAAATGAGAGCAGCCCCCCCCCCCGGTGTGCACACACATATTTAAAATATTTCTATGGCACCTCTTCAGAGTCCTGCTCGAGGTGGGTCAGAATGAAAAACACAAGCAGCATTAAAACGACCCATAAAAACAGAAGCAGGCTGATAAGATAAACGCTGATAAGATAAAACCTCTAATTAAAAGCCTAGGTAAAAAGATGTAAAATAAAAAGAAAGTAAAAGTAGGTGCTAGGCTAGCCTTAAGGCAGAAAGTGGTTTAAGGGTAAGGTGACAACACAGAAAATGCCCTGTCTCTAGGTGGTGAGATAACAGTCAACAGGGCTTCAGGGGCACAGCTTAACAGGCAGGATGGATAGTACAGGAAGAGACTATCAGGTACCCTGGTCTCGAGCTGTTTAGTGCCATAAAGCTAAGAACCAGCACTTTGAATTGCGTCCAGAAAGAGATGGGTACCCAGTGCGGATCTTTCAGTGATATGATCCCTGAAACCAACCCCTGACAGTAACCTGGCTGCCACATTTTTGACCAATTGAGGTTTCTGAATTGTTATCAAAAATACTCCAGTCTAAACTCATTGATTTTAGTGTGCTTAGACCAGACTAATTTTGCATAGGAGTGCCCTGTAATTGTTTATATCACCTTGAGATGACCTATGGTGAAGTGCAAATGCACACTAAGCACAGAGTGTGCAAATAACTGAGCCTTTAACTGAAGTCAGCAATCACCAATACATTTGGGCTGATTTTGCACTAGAGCTGCCTCGATGTTGCGCCGCCGTTTGCCCCGATACTATTGGTCAGTTTTACACCCGAAGCTGTGGGGCTGCATTTTGACTCACGGCTTCACCTGTTTTTTGAGGATCACGAAACTGCGGAGGAAATCGGGCGAAGCCGCGGGTCAAATGCAGCCCTGCGGCTTCGGGTGTGAAATTGACCAGTAGTATTGGGGCAAATGGTGGCGCAACATCAAGGCAGCTCTAGTGCGAAATCAGCCACTGTGTATGTAGGGAATGCAGGTGCAAATAGCACTGGCTGAATTTGAAAAACGTAGATGGATATTCTGCTTCCTCGGCGTTGGGGGAAAAGGATTTCAAAATTTACTGTGTGTTGTTGTTGTGTGTGTTAAATGCCATCAAGTCGCTTCAGACCTATGGTGACCTTATAGGGTTGCCAGACCCCTGATCCCAGTGGGGGTTTCCATGATTTCAGGGGCTCCTTCTCGCCACCAGCTAGCAACCACCCATACCTGAACTCCAAGTCGCAAATTCACAGCTTGAAGGCACACCCGGCCTCCCTCTGCTGCTTCCAAAAGGCATTTCAAGAGACCCTTTAAATGCTTTTCAGAAAAAGTGGGGGCCAGGCATCTACATTCCAAGCCACAAATTCTTGGCTTGGAGTGTAGGCACACGTGGCCCTCCCTCACTTCTTCCCAAAAGCATTTAAAGGGACCCTTGACACTTTAAATGCTTTTGGGAAGAAGAAGAGATTGGATTTATACCCACCCTTCACTACCCAAAGGAGTCTCAGAGTAGCTTACAGTCTCTTTCCCTTCTCCACATCAGACACCCTGTGAGGTAGGTGGGGCTGAGAAAGCTCTCCCAAGAACTGCCTTTGAGAGAACAGCTCTGAAAGAACTTATGACCGACCCAAGGTCACACCAGCAGCTGCATGTGGAAAAGCAGGGAACCAAACCTGGCTCTCCCAGATTAGAGTCCACACTCTTAACCACGGCACCAAACTGGCTCTCCCCAACATGATGACGTCACTTCTACATGATGTCATCATGTTGGTGACACAACCCCACCCCCTCCAGTAACACCCCCCAAAGTCCCCTGCCAGGGACGTGGAAGAACCTGGCAACTCAATGACCCTATGAACTAAAGTCCTCCGAAATGTCCTATTGTTAACAGCCATTGCAAATTGAGGGAGATGGCTTCCTTGGCTGAGTTTTTTCCTGCTGCCGTCACCTTTGCCTAGTATTACTGTCTTTTTCAGTGACTCTTGTCTTCTTATAATGTGACCAAAGTGCAATAGCCTCAGTTTAGTCATTTTAGTTTCTAGGGAGAGTTCAAGCTTGATTAGGTCTAGAACCCACTTATTTGTCTTTTTAACCATCTATGGTATCCGTAAAACTCTCCTCCAACACCACGTTTCAAAGGAAATGACTTTCTTTCTGTCAGCTTTCTTCATGGTCCAATACATACATAGTAATGTGAAATACTTTTTATGTAGGGCTGCCCTCTCCTGCCACCTGGTTTAAACTGGACAGCAGGAAAAAGCAGCACAGAGCTGTGCTTGCAGGGAGCCATTGGCAATCCCAGCTGGGCTGCCCTCTCCCACCCCAATGAAGAAAAACTGTGTTATTTGGTTGTAGCTGCAGAATAAATACACCAGAGAAATTCTCTGCAGTAAGCTGTGCATGTGTAATAGGCCATTGTCTCTCAAGTTAATTTCTCCGTAATAAATGAGCAATCACAGAAATGGTGGATTCACAAAATCCTGAAGTTTGGGGGGTCACAAGAAATGGGCACAGGAAGTTGGTTTGTATATTTGTGGAGTTATGTATTAGTGGAGAAAAATATCTCATGGCAAAACAGGCCTTACTCCTAGTAATTAACTAGTAATTAATAATCATTGTATGGCAGTAGGTGTAGTATAGACAGGGGATTTGAAGAGTGTCCAGCAGCCTGAAACTCTAGCTCTTTTTTGTGGTGAGCTAGGTTTATGAACAGCTTACCTCCAACCACACAGCAAAGATCCTTGTCCTGTGGTAGCAGGTGATGCTGAAGCATCTTTTTTAAAAATATGCACAGTCAATCAGAAGCTCTGCTAAGCAAAAGCTCCACCTGGCCCTGTCCACTTTCTAAAAAGCACTTGGGCAGGACCCCTGATCTGGGTTGTATTGGCAATGGAACCATGTACATAAAACCCATCTGCATTTGCAGCTGCTTATTGCTCACCTGGGTAGGGAGTGTCCTTAGTTATATGAGGAGCTGCATGCTCAAATGGGTTCTGTACCCATGGTTCCTATTCTAATCAAGGTGTCAGAGTTGTGGCTGTGCAGCCCTGTTAGAAAAATGGGAGTGGGTTGGACTTGATCTCCTTTGCTTTCCCAACACCATCAAGTAGCTTGTTGTCTTCAGCAGGAATAGACAATTGCTGGTTGTTTGCATACTCATTAAAATTGTAGCCTATTTCAGGGGTTGGAAAAGTCTGTTTTCTGGTAGTACAATGTGATGTGGGGTTGCAATACCTGGGAGTGACAAATTGATGCAATTATAAATAAAGCCAGCAGAAGAAATGTACTAGTTCCTGTTTTCCTACTGATCAGTATGTACTTTGTGGCTTTACCAGGAGGCGTTGTTGATAAGGATCTTCGTCACTACCTCAATTTACGTTTCCAGAAGGGCTCAGTGGACCACGAGCTGCAACAGATCATCCGAGACAACCTCTACCTCCGAACTGTGCCATGTGAGTGTGAGAAATGTCACCCATGCATGATGTGTAATATGGTTCATCACCTTACTGATACTTAGTAAAGTAGCGATGCTATGATGCTAACAGAATCCTTTGAAAACTGTGGTCCCCATTCAGATTGATAGACTATTGGATTATTTTGGATTCTTGATTGGATTGGATTGGATTCTTGATTGGAGACCATCCTTCAAGACTAATTGGTGTTAAACCATGTTTCAGGCTGTTGCTTCAAAGAACAGTATTTCTATGTCCACTGCGCTTTATTCAGTTTTGAGAGCCAGACTGTTTTTGCAGACATGAGGAAGCACAAAGGCAAGGAAGAGGGTACATGGAAAGACATTCAATTTAGTGTAAGCTTCCTTAAGTTTTGATAGAAAGATGTTAACTCTGTTGGCACTTAAAGCTTCCTTGAAACTTTTGCCCATAAGCATTTGTTTGGCTTACTGTATTACACTACTGATCACTGAGAAAGAGAAGTAATATAAAAAATGACAGCCAGAAAGGATGCACTGTTTTTAATGTCTTCCCTTAGCAAATACAAATGAGGCTTGGTACTGTAAAAGCAGCACTAGAAATGAGTTATCTGTCAGAGATGTTGGTTTAACAGTAAAGGAAGATGGATTAAAATATGCGACCGCTACTGCTCATGTTGAAACACATGGATCCGTTTTGAAAGCTGCAATATTGTCAGTTTTCCTCCAGGAATGTATCTTTTATTTCCTTTGAAAAGAACATCAAGGCTTGAGAGTATGTTTGTCTAAAATGAAAGCAAATATAAGACTTTGGGTTGCAAGGCTCCCTCTGTCAGCCAGCGGGGGGCAGGGGGTCTTACTGGCAGCAGGGGGAGGGCGAAGCCTGCATCACATTGGTTGGTGAAACAGGGATGCTCTGGTATTTGGGCAAAATCTCTATGTTAGAAGCCATCTTTACCATAGAGCTTTTGCCGAAATATCGGAGAGAAGTGACATCAACACATTGCCAACAGTGTCACTAGGCCTCCTGCCGCTGCCAGTCAGTCTTCCTGCTGGCCAGCTGATTGTTGTATGGAGGGCGGGACATGTAATGAGGCTAGCATATAAAGTGTGCTGTTTTGTCTGTGTATTATCAGGACACGTTGTCTAATGATCAGGAATATTATTTGTTGGATGTTTGTAGTTAATTGAATTTGCTGTGTGTGTGAAAATAAATTTGTTTTAAAGCAAAGAGTATAATTCTGAAATTTTAGAAGAAATGAGGTGCTAATATGTTGCGGAATTAGGGCTGGATTGAGCTTCAATCCTCTGCAAATATGTTGTGGAAATAGGGCTGGATTGAGCCTCAGTCCTCTGATAAACCTCTGGTACACTTTAACTCCTATAGCAATTAGACTCTGTAGTTGAATCTGTGGTTCTGTTTCCCAGGAGGCTTCAGGACTCGCTAAGTGCTGTGGCCTTTGGATACCGATAACCCTGTACATTATTTTCACCTGACATGACCTTTGCCTTCTGGGAATGTTTTTACATTGCAGAAGTCAGGAGTCACTATTAAATTTATTTAGAATTTAATAGTCCTTGGTTCCTCTGTCAAGACCCATAACAGAGGGTGGTTGGCCAGAAAGACAAGGAACCCTATCTATTTAGGGTATCTGTAGCTAGTTTCCTTGACTCTCTGAGTCACTCTGACTTTCCTTGACTTTCCTGACCTCAGAGATAGAAAGAAAGGGCTGACTTTCTTGTATACGTCAGAGATGTATGTCAGGGTGCGTTCAGACGGACAGCTAATCCCACCAGTATGCCGGCTCAAATTTGATCCCAATCTTTTTAATCCATCCTCGCACGACCAGACATCCCCTGGGGGAATTGCCTTACTGCGCGCTGCTTCCACTGTGGATTGTCTAGATGGCGTCCACTGACGGAGGCACGCGCGGTGGGTTTTTTAAAAAATAAATAAAAAATAACATAATTGATACAATAATTTGAAAGAAAAAGCCAGTTTGATGTAGTGGTTAGGAGCGTGGACTCTAATCTGGGAGAACCGGGTTTGATTCGCCACTCCTCCACTTGCAGCTGCTGGTGTGACCTTGGGTCAATCACAAGTTCTCCCAGAGCTGTTCTCTCAAGGGCAGGTCTCGGGAGAGCTCTCTCAGCCCCACCTACCTCACAGGGTGTCTGTTGTGGGGAGGGGAAGGGAAAGGGATTGTAAGATGCTCTGAGACTCCTTCGGGTAGTGAAGGGCGGGATATAAATCCAATCTCTTCTCTTCTTCTCTTCTATCGTTCCTACTTTCATTTTTCTCCCTCTCTTCATTCCTGACTACTAGTTTTCTTTTCCCTGTTCCCTTGATTTATACACAGATTGAGGAACTGAATATTTACAGTCACAAAAAAGGTGGAAATGCTGACCACATCTTCCCATTCATTTGCATATCTGTTGTGCGCTTGAGGGAACCAAACCATATTGTATTTTTGGTTGCTTCATACCTGTTGTAGCCTATGTTTTGTTTACTTATACATTCACTGCTATCTAAGGACATTGAAATCAATGAATTTAATGTGGAGTAACCGTGCATAGGCCTGTGTAGCAGTGTTTTCTAGCCATTGTTCTATTTTGGATAATGTAGCTGGCTTTCCAGTGTTGTGATTTTATATGTTTATTATTTACGTATTGTGGGCATCCATTTTTTTCTTTGCCATTTGGAAAGTGTCCACATTTCTGGAATGTAGCCTAAGGTTTAACTATAAAAAGGTAAACTGCTGTATCATAATATCAAATGGCACCGGAAAATACTTCATTTTTGTACAGTTCTTTCTTAAAATTGAAATGTGTTCCCCCAAAAGGGTCTGATTTATCTGTTGAGTTCTTGTAGAGAAACTGGGAAAAAGAAGAAAGTACATCAATTATCAAGCAAGCTCCCACTTTAGATGACATTTAAATTGGGTTGAAGTGCAATGCTGTAAAAAAGGGAAAGGGGTGAAAAATAGATCTTGAAAAGCTGTTACAGACCTATAGGCTAGGAAGGCTGACCAGGAAATGGTTTGTACTGATAAAGAACCCTTGCAAAACCTTCCAAAGAAAGACTCCTGTGTACTTTTTTTTTTAAGATGAGTTTTTTCCAGAGACGGAGGGAGGCAATCTTGACTCCAGCCCTGCTCCAAGCTTTTAAATAAAAATGCCAGCAGCACTCAGGACACAGGATGAGGCTTCTCTGTTCTCTCCCCCCTGGCTTTGAAACATTTGAAATGTTGAATTTATTAAAATCAGTTTCAAAAACACTTCCTTCACACTGAACTACATAACTCAGGAGCCTCCTTCAGCCATTCCATTGGCCACCAGCTGCCGCCATTCTGCCAGGAGTTTGAAGCACTGCTTCCCATAAGCACTTATGCACATGCTCAAAAGATAAATGGTTAAAAAAACTCCCTGACCACCCCACTTTGTGGCTGCCGCATCTGATCAATCAACCACATGGTGAAAGTGCATTGAAGCGGGTTAAGGGGGGAGGTCTGATCAAAACTCTCCATTACAAAAAACAAACCCTGGATCAATTAGAAGTGGGGCCACACTAGTTCAAATTGCATGTCTGACTGCAGCCAGTGTCTCTTTTATACAGTGCACATGAATCGCCATAATATTGTGGATCCTGCCATTTTTGTTGTTCAGTCGCACAGTCGAGTCCGACTCTTCGCGACCCCATGGACCAGATCATGCCAGGCCTTCCTGTCTTCCGCTGTCCTCCGAAGTTTTCTCAAGATCCTGCCATAGAGATTTATTTACTTTTTCTTGAAGGTCTAGTTCAGACTTTGCACTTGTGTTTCTTTCTTCAAATGGTTGTCAGTCAATTATGGATGAATGATGAGGATGTAGCCTCTTCGAATTTATTTTAAAATACTTAATTATTGAAATATTTTTGAAGCACAAGCCAAAATCTTCCAATAATATAGGTCACAGTTTCCTACATGTTAGGTATCTCCTAGTTCAAACAGATAACTCTAAATATTTTCATTTCATTCTTTATTTATGATCCAGAGATCAAACTGCATTATAAAGACAGAGTATGTGTGTAGTCCACACAACATATAAGTGTAAACATTAAAAGAAACATTAAATTTTTAAAAAACTTTGCTGTACTTGGTAGGTGTTAGTGGATTGAATTATTCACTTCCTTATGAATAAAACCTTATCACAGAATTTAGCCACCTTGGTGGAGGTCTTGTCTGAATGGTCTGCAAGGAGGCGGGATGTGTAAAATGTTTCCAACCTAGCAGTTCGAAAGCAAGAAATTGCAAGTAGATAAATAGGTACCACTTCAATGGGAAGGTAACAGCGTTCCGTGCATTTTGGTGTTTAGTCATGCTGGCCACATGACCACGGAAATGTCTTCGAACAGCGCTGGCTCTCTTCAGCTTTGAAACGGAGATGAGCACCGCAACCCTAGAGTCGGATTCAACTGGCTTTCGAGCAAGGGAACCTTTACCTTTAACACATGCTTGACCATTTCAACTGTGCTGGATGAGAAGGAGCAAAGGTGCTGGGAACATGGAATGCATAGGTATCTCCCTTTTAAAGGTGCTGGGGATTAGACCAAGCCACAGTAAAGGCGCTGCAGTGGGAGTTTGCTGGCACAAAGTTTTAGGACTAGTTCCGCATCGCTGGATAGACGCATGCCCAATCTCTATCAGTTTGGAGGGATGGCTCTCGAGGGCCCAAGGTGGAAGATTGCTGAGGGAGACAAGCCAAACAGTTGTAATTTTTTCTCAACAGCGACTGCTCAACCTGAGTGGTATGTATCTAGAAGGATTACGGGGGCTAATCCAGATGGGTTAAAGTTTAGTTTAAGCCAGAGGCATATTGCCAGTTACCAGCTGTGTGCCTCTAGTGATATTTGCCCCGACTTTATTCTAATGATTGCGTTCGGTGCACAGCAAGGGACACCAAATATACTCCTTAGGAATATGGACTGTATGAGTTCTAGGGGGTGGTGGATGTCTTTACATAAACCAATCTGTGAGCCATACA